AAACCTTATATGTGTAATGAATGCGGCAAAGCCTTCAGGGTCTCCTCTAACTTAACACGGCATCAAAGAGTTCATAGTGGTGAGAAGCCTTACAAATGCAAACAATGTGGCAAAACCTTTAGCCGGTCCACATACCTTACTAATCATCAGAGAGGTCATGCTAGAGAGTAACCTTACAAACGTAGATAATGTAGCAAAGTCTTCAGTGCATTATCAACCCTAGCTTATCATCAGAGGTCATACTGCAGAAAAGTCCTGTGAATCAAGACAATGTGGCAAAGGCATTCCTCAGGCCTTCCGGACCATCAAATAACCCATACTGGAGAGAATCTTCGTGAATGTAGAGACTGTGGCCACGCCTTTTGCCAGTCCTCACGCTTTACTAAGCATCAGAGAATTCACACTAGAGAGAAGCCTTATTATACATGTAGAGAATGTGGCAAAGCCTACGGGCATTCCTCAGCCTTTATTTACCATCACAGAGTTCACACTGGAGAGAAGCCTTATTTGTGTGGAAAATGTGGCAAGTCCTTTGGCAACACCTCAAACCTCTCAGCACATCAGAGAGTCCATAGTGGAGAGAAGTATTAAAGATGTGAGGAGTGTCATAAATCCTGTACCAGCAGGTAGTGCTTACTGAGCTTACAGAATTCTAGATGGGAAGAAGCCTCCTGAATGTGAAAAATGGGTTTTCTAACCCATTAAAAGGCACACTTTTATTACTGTACATGAGACACTTCATACTGAAGAGAGAACTTAGAAATGTAGAGCATGTGCAAGAGCCTGTACCCACAGCTCAAAATGTAGTGAATAACATGTGTATAGTGGAGGAAAGCTTTACACTATAGAAAATGTGAGAAAGTACTGTCTGGCATTCCTCAGTGGTTTAGCTTTGACGTATGAACCACAAGGTCAGTGCAATTCCCTGTCTGGCATAAGCCCTGGTTGGAGACTCAATCTTCATTGTGGGGTATTCAGGAGCTAGCTGATCCATGATTCCCTCTGATCATTGATATTTCTATCGCTCCCTCTCTTTTCCTCTCTGAAATCAATAAAAATATATTTTGAAAAAAGTAAAGAATGTGAGGAAACCTTTAGTTGGTGTTTATTCCTTTCTGTACACTAGAAAGTTTATACTAGAGAGAAACCTTGCAAATGTGATCTGTGAGATTAATCCTTGTCAATGAAGTCTTATTTAACCTCAGATAAGTCATTTTGAAGGAAAGCCTTAAAAATATGTAGAATGAGGCACAACCTTTAATTATCCTTGTTGTCTTGCTGAACATAGGAGTATTCATACTGGAGAGAACACCTGTAAATGTACTGTGTGTGACTTGGATAAGCAGTGGGGGTGCCCGCACTGTGTTGCTCCTTGGTAGAGCATGGACCCATGAACCGGGAAGTCAGCATTCATTTCCCGACCAAAGCTCATGCCCTGTTTGTGGGCTAGATACCCAGTAGAGTTCACTCAAATGCAGCTGATCGATAATTCTGCATTATCATTGCTGTTTCTATCCCCCTCTCTCTCCCTTCTCCCTCAAATCCAATACCAGTGAGGTTGTAGTACAAGGCAGGAGATGTTTCTTACCCAGGATGCATAATTGCCATGAACTTTGCATTGGAGAGAGGGCACCTGTTTCTGAGGTGCACCCCTAACTGAACTCAGAAAATTAAGCTTATTTTTTTCATTTCCTATTTCATATTCTTCTCTGTGTTAATTTTTCCCTCATTTTTCTGCTCAGCTGATACTCTTTTCTGCAGTGCTATAACAATGGCATCTAAACCTCTTCCTCTCCCACAACCCTTCTGGCCCCTGTAGCTTCTGTTCTGTAGTTTGGAATTTTACTAATGCAATCACTGACATCAGAATTTGGCAAAATTTTGCTTTATATTCATGAAGTAGGTAGACCACTATTCATGTTTTCATGCTGGATCCTATAGTTTTGAATATGAATATTTATGGGCAATTACAAATTGGCTTCTGTGTCCTTTATAACTGAAATGATGTTTCTTGTCTTGATTTTTATTTATATGCTTAAGAATTTCACAGTGTTACCTCATTAACGTCTTTCTTAGGTTGGACTCAGCCTGTATTAAACAGATTTTATTCTCCGTGACTTGAATGTAACTGGATGTTTGTCATTTTTTCTAGAGGAACCCCACAGACCATGGCAGATTTGCAGTTAAAATTTTTTATTATTTTGCATCAGAAGTTATTTTGTATATTCACAGAATGACCACAGGTATGTTCATAGGCATTACCTGTCCCTGGAGTGTTTTCCAAGCTGTCACTGTAAGTTCCATGGACAGCAGGATAGCAGAGATTAAAATGAAAGCCCCACATTCATTCTCCAGTGTCTAGTGCTGAATTTGTACAAGGTGGTACAAATTCCTCTGCATGTGCCACCCAAGAGGACTGACAAAATCATTACAGAAACAAGATGTTCAATATTATTCTACTTTTCTTTCTGACATACCCATGGAGCATTCGTATGTATATGTATGTGCTAAAATTGTGTGGACTATGGCTCATCGGGATCAGGGGCTTTATGAATTTGTTCTGTACAAGGACATACTATGAGACCCTGATCATTCAAAGAACATAATTCCATCTAGACAATAGTTCCATTTTCTGGTATTGTAGTGAGAAATATTGAGGAAGTGTATCGATGGGAAATATATATAATATCTTTTTTCCCTCCCAATGGTCATTACGAAAATAGATGAAGCAGACATTGTTTCTAGGTTTAGAGGACCTTCTGTTTACATTTTGTCCAGATTGTATTTTCTTGTGATTTGGGGTGAAAAGCTCTAAAACAGAGGTCTCAACATTTTTTATCTCATGGCACATATGGAGTAATTTACTGAAATTTTGAGGTCCACCAAAATATATATTTTTGCCAATCTTCCAAAAAAAAAGTCTGATTTGGATCCATGCACACCACACAGCTATTACTGTGCTGGCCTTTGTCACATTTTATTCGACAATCAATGAGTAATGTAGTCCATGCTATTGACTAAACAGCCAGGTGTTGCTTGATCTAAAAAAGTTTGCAGCACACCTGTGTGACACTCCGGTTGATAATCTCTGCTATACATATCCAATCGCTCTTGTCTCATCACTCATTTAAGACCACATTTTCTGTATTGACTTTTTTGCCTGCTAGATGTATCCATTGATATCTATGGGAAACTAAAGTCCACTACTATGATGGTATTTTTTTTTTTTTTTATAAATATATTTTATTGATTTTTTACAGAGAGGAAGGGAGAGAGATAGAGAGTTAGAAACATCGATGAGAGAGAAACATCGATCAGCCGCCTCCTGCACATCTCCCACCGGGGATATGCCCGCAACCCAGGTACATGCCCTTGACCGGAATCGAACCTGGGACCTTTCAGTCCGCAGGCCGGCGCTCTATCCACTGAGCCAAACCGGTTTCGGCACTATGATGGTATTTTTATGTGGTGTGTTTTCTGGCTTTGTGTGGCAATACTAACGGCTGATATTTTATTGGCCTAAAGCAATTAAATACTTATATAGGTTAAACATAATCCTCTAGCCTGACTCCTCTAAATTACAGGTTTCTAAACAGGTCATACCTTTAAATAAAGACTTCTCTAACCCCTAAATGAATACCTATATTCATGAAAATACTGGGAAATAATTAAGATTTTTAAAATGGTGACGGGACTAAGTAAACTGATAATAGGTATTATTCGTATAACTGTTTTAAATATTGTTGATTTTAAAATTGTTTTGTTGCCCTAGCTGGTTTGGCTCAGTGGATAGAGCGTCAACCTGCGGACTGCAGGGTCCCAGGTTCGATTCCAGCCAAGGGCACATGCCTGGGTTGCAGGCTCGATTCCCAGGGGGGGGCGTGCAGGAGGCAGCCGATCAATGATTCTCATCATTGATGTTTCTATCTCTTTATCCCTCTCCCTTCCTCTCTAAAATCAATAAAATTGTTTTGTTTACCAAATATAAGGAAAAGTAACAGGAGACATTCTACATTAATATCAATGTCCCATTAACTAGATTATAGGGACTACTAAAGTCAAAATTTTCATTAAAAATGCATTCCCAGAATACAAAGATTTCAAAGACCACAACTTACAACTAAAAATTTTATCCCTTGAAAAATACATGAATTAAAATCGGTTTCCCACTGGGATGGATGGGACCTTATCTCATCAGGTGCCTAACCATGAATGGATATCTGGGTCTGTCTCTGACACCCACACCCTCCTGCTTCCCTAACTCAAGCTGCCTCTCCCTTCAGTTGGGGAGACAAGGAGGGGCTGAGAGAGCAGGCTGCCCTTCCCCTCCCCCTCCTCATTGAGGGTTTAAGGATCCAGGCAAATCGGAGGCAGAAAGTTTCTGGTTTCAAACCCAACCTGCCCGCCTTTTGAGTTCTCTGTAACTTCACTGTAAGAATGTGCTCCCGGCTTGTGAAGATCCCGGGAAAGACCCCTCCCTGGGACACCTGCAGCTGAAGGGCAGACCAGCCGGTAGCTCTCAGCACAGCCTCTGGGAGCTGGGAAACTGCTGTGTGAATTCCAGGTTCCTCCTCCCTCCTTATGCTTTAGTCACAGCTGCCATTTACTCGCTAGCACCCTAATAAAAGAACAGCCCCTCTATCTGGGGTGCCTTGTGCCATCAGAGGGCACCTGGCCCTTTCCTCCCTTTAAAGAAGTAAAATAAACGCCCTCTCTCTGCTCCTGTCTCTTCTCTCCCTTGTGAATCCTTTCGCAGCCGCGTCACCAGCCAAAACCCTGACAGTGACGTGGGAAACTCCCCCAGGAAGGGCTGCCCCTGTGGGAGGAGGTGCGGGGACCCGGGCTGCCCCCTCGCTCCTGCCCCGCCCTCCCTCCCTCTGTCCCTGCACAGGCCTGGCCGCCGGGCTCGGCCCCGCCCCCATCGCGGAGCCGCTCAGCTCAGGCTCTGGCCCCGCCCACCCCGCAGGGAGGCGCATGCGCAGTTCCTTGCAGACGCGGAACCGGCTGTGGAGGTTAAGGTGGCGGTTCCCCCTGAGGAGGGTGTTTGTCTTTAAAGCTGACGCTCCCCGTCCCCCTCCCCGCAGGGAAGGCTGAGGGCGCTGCCGGCGCTGAAGTCCTTGTTGGGGTCCCCGCCCCGGAGCCTCTCAGCGGTGAGTCCGGTCCCGGGAGGCTGCGCGGTGCGGGCGGCACGTGCCTTTGGGAGGAAACGGAGGCCCGGCCCGTGGTCTCTCCGCCTGTGGCTGTGGCCACCGCCTGCCGCGCGGTTTTTCTGCTGAAAACCGTTCCCGGGGCCGCCGGTCCTCCCCGCGGGGCTGAGAGTCTGGCTCAGGGGGTTCCCGCCCTTTTTGCCCCTCCCCCCGCCCGGCGCTTTCCACCCAAACAGCCCGGATGGCTCCCGGCCTGGGGGTCTGCACCCCCCTCCTAGGCCCACCCCCATTTAATAAGGGGTCTGCCTGCCCGGGGAGCACAGTGTCCATATATATATATTTAAAGATATTACTATTGATTAACAAGTGGCAAGGAGAGGGAGAGAGAATTAAAAACATCAATGAGCCCTGGCCAGTTTGGCTCAGTGCATAGAGCATCAGCCTATGAGCTGAGGAGTCCCCGGTTTGATTCTGGTCAGGGGCACTTGCCCAGGTTGTGAGCTCGATCCCCAGTGGGGGACTTGCAAGAGGCAGCCAATCCATGATTCTTTCTCATCATGGATGTTTCTCTCTCCCCCTCTTCCTTCGTCTCTAAAAATCAATTAAAAACACAAAGCACAAAAAACATCAATGAGTAAAGACAATCATTGATCAGCTGCCTCCTGTCCCTCTGCCCCCCGACCATTAGGGATCAAACCTGCACTCTGGCCACATGCCCTGACTAGGAATCTGACCATGACCTCCTGGTTCATAGGTCCAAGCTCAGCCAGTAAATCATGCCGCCTAACCATGGCTTTATATATTTAACAGCTGAATTGTCTTAGTTATACAGACTTGAATGAGAATGACAAATCTCCAGTTTATAAGGCTTCGGAATTTTATAATGATTTGCTTCCAATTGCAACCCCTATTCACTCAGAGGGGAGAGACTTGTCTGTTGGTCATGGGTCCCCATTTCCTGGGTTGGCAACGAGGAGGTGACCTGTGTTTTTCACCACCTGATTCTTTTTCAAGGAATATTAGAAACCTTAGGTTTTTTGTTGTGTTTTGTGTGTGTGTTTCTTCAATGGATTTACTTTTTCTATGTCTGACAATTTATTATTTAAGAACATCCTGAGATAAATCCTCTGGGTCTTCTCAGATCCCCTGAGGAGCTTAAAGATATGCCCTCAGGGGCACTCTCCCCCATAGAGTTGGACAGCTGCTCTGGGTGGGGCATCCTTGGTTACTGAGGGCCTTCAGGTGATTGGAAGGTGAGGACAGGGATTAGCAGGAGGGGTGCAGGATGCCTTTGTGAGAGTGGGGAGCAGGCTTTGTTCAGGGGAGGTAAGGGGGTGCTCTGTTCGGTTTTGAAGGTCCGGACAGAAGCTCACGTTCTCATTTCTGTAGGAGTTTGTGGATGTCTTGGGAGGAGAGACACATGAAGACACACTCAAAAATTCACAGTGCGGTCTCCATGTAGGAGCTCATTGGTCCTCACTCTCTCCTGTGACTAAGGACAGGCAGGCATGGCCTTTTCTTCATTTCCAGGTCCTTTTGACTGAGGGTGAGGTGATTGAGACGCCGTGCTGATTTCTTTGAAGGCACAGTCTGTGACTCCTCAACATATCCTTGCCTGAGAAAACAACCCAGACCCTCATCAGGACCAGGGCCAAATGGCTGCTTCTCAGGTAAAAGATGTGTCCTGGGTCACAAGCTATGTTTCCTTATCCTCTGACATCTGTGGATTTAGAACCTGCCACTCCTGATGTTGGTGCTATTCATGCTCTTTTCCTTTACTTATTTAATTACCGGTTTTCTTATGATAATCAAGGTCAGCAGTTTATATAGTTTTGTCCTTTGGCCGAGAGCCTTCTCTGCATTCATGTTATGCAGGTTCCACCAGGTCAGGAAGATTTCCCACCTTTAATTGATGACTTTCACTTACTGAAAACATCCCTCTCTGAGGAATCAACCTTGGAAGGCAGCCATGTCTAACATCCTTACTGGGATGGGGCCAGAGGTTTGGGTATCGGCGAAGAAGGTAAATGTAGCTTTTAGGTTCAAGTGGCTGGACATCAGCTCTGGAATAGGGGTAAGAAAATGCACATCTTACTGCTCAGAATAGCTCAGCAAGTTCTGAAACGAAGAGTGAAGAGAAGAGACTTGCTCACTAGATTAGTAAGACTTGCTATTTAAATGTACCTTTAGCTTGCAGAACATGAGAGGTACACATGGATTGACACTTGCAAACAATAATGTTCATTTATGACCATTTTCACATAATGATTTGCTTATTTATGTATTTTTGCTATGACATGTCCTTTCCTGTGCCTCAGTCACTTGATATCCATTGTTCCAGTTCACCTGATAGTCCCTTGGCTGAGATGCTCCCCTAATCGTAGAATTTATTGAGAGATGTGCACAGACCATCCAGAAGCCACCCTCTTCGTCTTAGCTTCTACTTGCTTAGAAAAATAAAAGCCCTACTTTTATTTCCTACAGATCACTGTCTTTTCACATGGGAGCTTCAACCAATGAGGCCTTCTTGCTGTAAATTTTTATAATATTCTACACTCATTCATGGATATACTCGACATAATCACTTTTTATATTTTCTAGAAAGTTTACAAGAATCACATTATCAATGTATCCCCAGTTCAGGTAAATTTCTAGGATTGTAGCTCTCCACTAATGACACATAAAAATTTCCAAATACATTAGTGACTCAGAAACAATAGGTCTAACATATTTTCTATCATTATGTGAGTTCATCTCCTTATTGTGTTTATAATACACAAAGGGTATCATTCACAAAGAGGTTCATGAAATTTATGGAATCACAAAATAACCTTGATTTCATTGACATGACAATTCTTTTTTCTATTTATTTTATATTGTAGGTAAGCTCTCATAAGTGTGTGTCTACATAAAATGTTAACATCGTTGGAGCTATATTTTCTTACTTGCTTAACCTGTCTTTATTCTTCTTCTCAGTTACAGAAACAGCTGTGAATATTCATGAGGTTTTTTTATGGGTATTGACCTGTGTTTGTTTTTTAATTGTCGATTGAGTTTGAAATAAAATTGAAGGTTTACTAGTAACTTTAATTATATGTTTCACAAATTCTTAGAAATTCTTGTTCTAAGAATACTCATAGTAAAATTTCAAATAGGATTGTGGTTCCTATGTGTCCTGTTCCATGAGAACTATAAAATCCATTGAAAACTACTTTCACTTAAAAGTTATGTCTGAATTTTTTCCTGTGTATTCAGAAGTATGACAAATGGAACACAAACATTGGCATCACAAGTGAAAAGTGGGCTTATTACACATGTGGAAACACAGGCCCCATCTGAGAACCTGGCTCAGAATCTGTATTTTTAGAAAAGTGTAGTCGTGGTTGACTGTGTTACACTTCAGGCCGTAATTATGCTTCCAACTGAGCATTACATCTCCAGCTGAGACATAACACACCACAGACCCTGAACGATGCAAAACACAGCCCTCAGAAACCCATATGCCCATGTCGATGCCCTAATTTTACAGTTTATTTTCCTGAAAAGTAAAATCTGTACCGTGGATTTTGGGACATGTGTCATCCTCATTTGTTAGTGTTCGAAAACATACCAGAGAATGTTACTGGGCAAAGTGATCTTATTGGGTGATTCAGGATATTCCCCTTGGTCAAAACCTCTTCTCCTCACATGGTTTTCTTTTTTGTTTGTTTCTTTTTTTTCCTTCATTTTTTTCTTTATCTCCTAACACTGTTTTCATGTTGGGTGACATTATGAACTGTTCTGGTGAATTCTTGGTAAACCTGTCTTTCCTTTCAGGGACCATTGACTTTCAGGGATGTAGCCATAGATTTCTCTCAGGAGGAGTGGGAATGCCTGGACCCAGCTCAGCGGAAATTGTACCTGGATGTGATGTCTGAGAACTATAGCAACCTGGTCTCTGTGGGTAAGGGTGACTTCCTTCCAGAGTTGTTCCTTCACCTGCAGGGTTTTGTTTCCTTTATATTAACATCTTTAGGAGGCTTCTGCTTTCTAGGGTAGACTTTCTGATTCTTGCTCTTAGGGAACAAATAGGGGTTTTCTGGTTTAGAAAAGAAAGACTGTTATGTATGTGAATCAGGAACTCAGTGTTTGAAAATTTTACTTGTTGTCTAGACTAAGGTTCTGTCAGAAAGCAGTATTTTGGAAAACAATTTTCTAGAATATTCAAATTTTCAGTGGACAAACTGGATTGGAAATAGGAGAATCTCTAGCAAAACTCATGTTCCATCTACACATATAAAAGCCTAAACTACCTTTACGATGGAACAACCGAACAACCAGTCGCTATGATGCACACTGACTACCAGGGGACAGGCACTCGACACAGGAGCTGCCCCTAGCCAGCAGGTCCGAATCGCTGATGGGGCCTGTTGGCCAACCTCCTGGTCCCTCCCTCTGGCCAGCAGGCCCCCTGGGCTGGGCTGGGCAACCTGGGAGGGGGATGGGTTGCAGTGTACACAGCCCCATACCTAGGGAGGCTGAGGGCTGTCTCCCTCAGGGCCAACCTCCTGGGCCCCTCCACCTCTCCTTCCCCCCCGGTCGGCAGGCTCCATTTGGTGGCGAACCACCTGGTGGTGGCACACGGGCGATGAGGGATGGAGGAGGCGGGGAGGCAGGGAACCCTATTGTCTCTGATCACCAGCCAGGCCTAGGGACCCCACCATTTCACGAATTTTGTGCACCGGGCCTCTAGTCTAAAAAGAAATACTGGTAGTTCTTGCAGTCTCTAAGCAAGTCCTTGTCATCTTTTCTGAGCAAATGAAAGAACATGTGGGCTATTGCTGGCGTAGTAAGTTGGTTAGAGCATTATCTCTGTCTGCCAAGGTTGTGGATTTGATCTGGTCAGGATGAATTCAAGAAACAATCAATGTTGCCCTGGCTGGTATGCTTCAGGTTAGAGTTAAGTCCGCCCACCCAAGGGTGGAGGGTTCTTTTCCTTGTCAGGGACATGTAACTGGGTTGAAGGTTCGATCCCCAGTTCGGGTTGGGATTTGGGGAAGGCAGTCAATTGAAGTGTTTCTCTCACATTGCGCTCTCTCTCTCTCTTTCTCTGTCTCCCCCTCCCCCCTCCCCATTTTCTCCCTTCTTCCTTTCCACTCTCTCTAAAAAAAGAAGGAAAAATTATCCTCTAGTGAGGATTAACAAGAACAACAAACGAAAGGAGTTACCAATGATTACATAGATGAGTGGAATATCTATATATTAGGAAAAAGCAATGATGATGTTTTTCAATATCTTTCTTCAGTATATCTCTTAATCATGTTATATTTAACCTGAAATATTTAGTTTAATTTTTCATTTGTTTTGTATTGATTTAAGAGAAATAGAGAACAGTAAAGAGGGGGGGGGGCAGGTGGAGAGAGGGAAGGGGAAAGAGATAAATATCAATTTTTTATCCCCCTTATTTAAGCATTTATTGATCGATTCTTACATGTGCCAGGATTGCAGATAGAACACACAATCTTGGCAACCTTGGCATACTGCAACTATGCTCTCAACAACTGAGCTACCTGGCCAGGGCTGAAATGTTTATTTTATTTAATTTATTTACTTAGATTTGAAATGTTTATTTTATTTTAAACATCAGTCATTCTCTGCTCACTTTATAAATTTCTTATGGTTCTTTTTTTTATATATATAAGGCAGTTTTTTTCATTTTTGTTTTGTTTTCTTTTTTTTTTACTTTAGGATTGATTATACCTGTATATTTTGTGTAGGCGTAGCAACAATGATAAAAATTTCTCTCAATTAAATTTTTTTTTATTGCCTCTAGTGGTTGGCAAACTCATTAGTCAACAGAGCCAAATATCAACAGTACAACGATTGAAATTTCTTTTGAGAGCCAAATTTTTAAACTTAAACTATATAGGTAGGTACATTGTTATTAACTTTATTAAGGTTCTCCTAAGGCTTAGGAAGAGCCACACTCAAGGGGCCAAAGAGCCTCATGTGGCTCACGAGCCGCAGTTTGCCGACCTCGGCTAGCTGATTTGGCTCAGTGGATAGAGCGTCAGCCTGCGGACTAAAGGGTCCCAGCTTCGATTTCGGTCAAGGGCATGTACCTTGGTTGTGGGCAAATTCCCAGTAGAGAGTGTGCAGGAGGCAGGTGATCGATGTTTCTAACTCTCTATCCCTCTCCCTTCCTCTCTGTAAAAAATCAATAAAATATATATATTTTTAAAATGTTTTTTGTATTAATTTTTATTAGAGAGTAAGAGGAAGGGGAAGAGAGAGAGAGAGAGAGAGAGAGAGACATTGATTTTTGTTGTTTTACTTATTAATGCATTCGTTGCTTCAATATATTTGTGCCCTGACCAAGGATTGAAACTGCAACCTTGTTGTATTGGGATGATGCTCTAACCAACTAAGCTACCAGGCCAGGACCCCAAATTGCTTCTTTATTAAAATTATACTGATATTTTTAAATGATTTTAATTCATTTCCTATGAATTTTTCCTTCCCTGTAACATATGTCACAATGCAAAATGTTTGCTGTTCATGGAGGCACAATTACAGTTAGAATGTACAGTTATTATAAGAGAATTCTTTTCCACTAGTACATGTACTTATTATTCACACTTTTGGGGAGAAATATTCTATTCTTATCTTGCACATTTAACATTTTTTTTATTTAAGAGAGAAAGGGAGACAGAGGGAGAGATGGAAACATCAGTGATGAGAGAGAATTATTGATCAGTTGCCTCTTGCACAGCCCACTCTGTGGACTGAGCCTGCAACCCAGGTATGTGCCCTGACCTAGAATCGAACCGTGACCTCTTGGCTCATAGGTAGATGCTCTTGCCTCATTTAAAAAAAAAACTATTTTATCTTTTTAATGTTCTGGTTGGATTTTAATATGCTTCCTTATATACCAAACCTTGATTTCATTCTCTATTTCATCTATTGTACTTTATTTTTTTATTTATTTTTGTTAATCCTTACCCAAGGATATTGTTCCATTGATTTTTAGAGAGAGTGCAAGGGTAGGGGGGGAGACAGAAAGAGATACACTGTTGTGAGAGAGACACATCGACTGGTTGCCTCCCATATAAGCTGACCCGGGCCGGGGTTCAGGCCTGCAACCGAGGTACATGCCCTTGACTGGAATCGGACCCAAGATCCTTCATTCCTCGGGTGGATGCTCTGTCCATTGAGCCAAACAGAATTGGGCGTTCATCTACTTTAGAATCCTTGCAATATTTAAATTTATTTCATTAGTGGATCCTTCATTTCTGACTCATATGTTTAATGGTTTCCTTGTTCTTTTTTATGCTATTGAAGTTTTCATGATGTTTCTTGAGTATCATTATAACCATTGCTTTGAACTCTGTATCTGGTATGCTTGCCTCCATTTCTTCTTCTGGAGATTTCCCCTTTTTTTGCATTTGGGACCCCTCTTTTGTCTTCTCACTTGGCCGGGTTTTTGTGTTTGTCTCTGTGTACGTATTAGGTAGAGCTGCGCCATCTGCTGGACTTGGTAGCGTGACTCAAGTAGGCGTTCTGTAGGGCCCAGTGGCAAGCCCTCCCGAGTCACTCCAGCAAGGTGCTCCAGGCCTGTGCTGTGTGTGGGTTGTGTTTTCTGTCCTGGAGCCTTGATTGTTGTTGGCACATTACTGAAGGGATCAACCCCCAGGCAGATTCACTGTGAGGACCAACTGCAACTTCAGAAGAGAAGCAGCAGTGCTGGGGCCAAAGCCTCTGTAACTGAACTTGCTGATGTAGTGCTTGAGTGTCGACCAAGTCTGCCCCGTGAGTGTGTCTCCCCTGGAGGTTGTCGGGTTGTAATCCAGCGGGGGGAGGGGGAGGGTATGAAGCTATGGAGCGAATGGACTGGCTCTGGGGCCTTCCAGGAGTTGTGGGCCAAGGTCAGTCACCACCTGTGCCTTCCTGGGGCCACTTGATATGAGCTATAGAGGGACCTGCAAATGGATATTTCTCTTATTCTTGTTATGTCGCGTAGGACTCCCTCCACGTCCCGCATGGAGTAGGGACAAATGAGAAAAAAGACAAGAGATAATTTTGCAATATTGGAGGACCAAGCGGGCAAGTCCAACTCAAGGAGAGGGACTTCCACCTAAGCTCAGGCCGCTCCAATCTTTTATTGAGGTCGGGGTAGCCTTAGGTAAGGAGATTTCAATGACACATGGATTAGCTCATCGGTAGACAATTTCCAGAAATAGGCAGAGTATCTGATTAGCTCATCAGTAGATGATTTCCAGGAATGGGCAGAGTATCTGATCAACAATAATCAACAAGGAGCTACACAAGTAAGTGAACTAAGGTGGGGATGATGCTTCAACTATTATTATCTAAATTAACTGGGTGGTTCCTAGATTAGCTGGGTGGTGCACAGTTCTGACCTTTGCTAGGACTTCAAGCCTTGACTTTTGCCAGGACTTTCAAGGGCTACTAGCTTTTGGGGGGTCTCTCTCTAAACTCAGCTAGTGAAGACAATGAATGGACTCCGGCATTGTTAACTATGTTTTTATTGATTTTAGAGAGAGAGAGGAAAGGAGATAGATAGAAACATCATTGATTAGCTGCCTCCTGCACGCCCCCTACTGTGTATGGAGTCTGCAGTCCAGGCATGTGCCCTGAGTGGGAATTGGACCAGCGACCGCTTGGTCCATGGGTCAGTGGTCAACCACTGAGCTACACCTGCTGGGCAATGGCTGCTGCTTGTGTTTAGCTTGGAGTTGCCCAGGAGACGTCCAGCTGCCATCCAAAACTAGTTGCCACCAAAGCCAAGCCTCAAGCCCAGGGGTGGGCAAACTTTTTGACTCGAGGGCCACAATGGGTTCTTAAACTGGACCGGAGGGCCAGAACAAAAGCATGGATGGACTGTTTGTGTGAACTAATATAAATTCAAAGTAAACATCATTACATAAAAGAGTATGGTCTTTTTTTTTTTAGTTTTATTCATTTCAAACGGGCCGGATCCGGCCCACGGGCCGTAGTTTGCCCACGGCTGTTCAAGCCACTTAAGTGTGACGTACGGGGCACATGAAAGCCAAGTGCTGCTTGTTTGGGGGATTTGGGGAACATCTGAAGCATGATTAAAAAGAGGCCATTTTTATGGAAAAGCCACTAAACACAGCAAAACAGCTTGGCCGTGCCCCCAAGTTGGGTGGGACAAGTTCTCCAGCAGTCAGTAGGTCAAAGCTACAGTGTTAACCAGGTTGATGGAGACCCATATGGTGCGCGCTTGCTGGCTTTGTGAGAAGGTCTCAGAAATGAACAATGGACTCTAGCAGCACTTTTCTCTGACAGAAAGCTGCCCTGCCAGCTGTGGCTCTGATGACAGACAGACAATTCAGTTTCTCCCTGTCTTTCCAGCTGATGCCCTGGTGCTAGAGATCAGAGTCAGTGAGTCCAAGAGTAAGTCCGTGTGCAGGCCCTGTAAGAGGAAATCCTGCCCTAGCCGGTTTGGTTCAGTGGATAGAGCATCAGCCAGTGGACTGAAAGGTCCCCAGATTGATTCCGGTCAAGGACACATGTCCAGGTTGCAGGCTCAATTCTCCAGTGTGGGGGTGTTCAGAAAGCAGCCAGTTAATGATTCTCATCATTGATGTTTCTTTTTTTGTGGTTTTTTTAAATTTTATTTTATATTTCCCTTTTAATTTTGTTTTATTTCTTAAATTATTACAAAGAGTGTTACACCCCAGTGTCTTGTGTCATTTGGTTATTCTTCTTCCCCTTTTGTTCCTGGTTGCCCACCTCTAGATGTTTCAATGTACTGGTCTCTCAGTCAGGCTTCTGTGTTAAGCAGGGAATTCCTTGTTGAGTTATAGTTGATAACTTGGTCAAGTTTTAGGTGGAGAGGCCTGGGTGATCTCTCTAGCCTCCATTTTTCTGACGTTGCTTCCATGTCTTCAACTCTTAATTTCTTATCTGTTATCACACCTTTTCACTATTCTGTATTTATGTCACTCCACTTAGCGTGCAAAGTTGTCGATTTGTTAGTGTCCCATGTGGACTTCCCTCTATCAAAACTTTCAATGTACTATGCAAATTTTTTGATTCTTCAGCTTGGTCATATCTTCCATTGATAATTCTGTCATATTTTTATATTGGTGCATTTTTTTTAGCTTCCCTATTATGTTTGGTTTATTTCATAGATACTTTTATGTTTGGGCCATGTTTTTTAGTTTTTCTCAATGTCTTAATATCTCTTGATGGGGTTCAGGAATTTAAACAACCAGGCCTTATAAACTTCAAATTTCTGTCAAAATTGTTTGGCAGCAGAGTGTGTGTAAGTTCCAAGTTTAAATAATTTTCTATTTCTTCCCCAGAACCCTAAATATCTTTTTGTTCTTGATAACTGTCTTCAGTATTGCAGTCTCTGTAGCGTTTGAACAATGTCCCACCTTTTCTTTTTTCTTTCTTAAATATTTTTTAATTTATTTCAGAGATGAAGGGAGAGGGAGAGATAGAAACATCAATGATGAGAGAGAATTACTATTTATTTTTAATAATTCTTTATTGTTGAAATCATTACAGTGTCCCCCAGAGAGAGAATTATTGATCGGCTGCCTCCTCCACGCCCCACACTGGGGATCGAGCTTACAACACGGGCATGTGCCCTGACCAGGAATCAAACTGTGACACCCTGGTTCATAGGTTGATGCACAACCACTGAGCCATGTGGGCCAGGCACCCACTTTTTCTCTTTAGCAGCCATTACAATGCATTCACCATGTACCAGTAATGCCATTATTTTTAGCAACCTGTATCATGCAAAACAGAAACACATTTTTCAAGATGTTGCAGAAACACAAGGTCATTGAACACACACAGTACCCTTATCACTATCTCCTCACAGAGAAAACTGGGAATTGGGAGTTTTATCATACTGCCACTGTTTGCTAGGGTGTTTTGAAGTATTGGTGACAAATGTAAGTAACTTTTTAACCCTCTTTTATCTGACTTTTTCTCATTGTATCTTTTTTGGTTTGTTGTGAACATTTAACTTGATTTTGGAGTACTCAAAAATGTCATTTGGTCAGTAATTGCTGGTAAGGTCAGTGTGCATTCCCCTGAGTGCCATAACTATCAAACTTTATTTCATATCTTTCAGCTATCTTATCTGAAGACAACCAGGCCATTCTGCAAAAGCCAAAAATAAGAGATTTATTCCCTAAAATAATACTGGTAAGATATGAAAGGTATGGCTTTGATAATGTACATTTAGTGAAAGCCCTGGAATTTGAGAAGGAATGTAAGATGAGAAAAAATTATTTTATTTTATTTTTAAAAATATATATTTTATTGAATTTTCACAGAGAGGAAGGGAGAGGGATAGAGAGTTAGAAACATTGATGAGAGAGAAACATCGATCAGCTGCCTCCTGCACACTCCCCACTGGTGATGTGCCTGCAACCAAGGTACATTCCCTTGACCGGAACCGAACCTGGGACCCTTGAGTCCGCAGGCTGACATTCTATCCACTGAGCCAAACTGGTCAGGGCAGAAAAAATTATTTTAACATGGACAGAAGTAACCTGGTACAATTATTCATAATAAAATTATTGTCACTTAATGAGATCGATGATATTACACATTTGGTGTAATACTCTCGATTTAAATTTGTCATATTTGTAAATTAATGTGTTTCTAAATATGAAGACCAAATATAATTTTTTAAATATACATTTTTGAAATGAAAATCTATGAATTTACATAATCTATGCTGTAAATATAAGAATTATTACACTATAATGTGGCATTAAATTTTCAGTCATTTCTAGAATATAGTGATTTATAATGCACATATAAAATTTAAATGCAATTAGTTCGTTGACTTTTTTTGTTGTTGTTGACTTCTGTATTAAGGTATCATTATACTTATATTGAGAAATAATATTTTTGATACAAATGTCTATCATTTTTATAACTTAGGAATCTTTTTTAAATATGTCTTTATTGATTTAAGAGAGAGAACTGGAGAAGAAGAGAGAGAGAGAGAGAGAGAGAGAGAAATATTCATGATGAGAGAGAATCATTGACTGGCTGGTTGCCTGTTGCACACCGTGCACTGGGGATCAAGGCCACAGCTCAGGCATGTGCGCTGACCAGGAATCAAACTGTGACCTCCTGGTTCAAGGTTTGTTGCTCAACCCCTGAGTCACACCATCCTGGAAGGAGTGTTGTTGTTTTTATACACTTCATGGTTTAATAGTTATCACAGAATAATTACTTGAAAAAAAGAGTATATGTTTAATAAAATTATAGCTGTCACTTAAGGCCTTTCCATCTTCAATGATTACCAGAATACGTGCAATGAAGACAGAAGTTATCAATGCAAGGAGCATGGGAAAAATTTTACCCAAGGGTCAAATTCTAATATACATCAGAAAATTCAGCTTCCAGAGAACCATTATCAAGGTGGAAAAGTCTTTGGCCAATTGTCAAATCAAATTATACTTCAGTTTATTCCTACTGTGGCAAAAACAAACAAACGAAGAACATGTGACAAACTTTTGAAACAATCTACAAATCGTACTGAACGAGATTACGTGCACACCGGAGAGAAAGCTTGCAAATTTAATTCCTGTGCGAGAATCTTCAGTCAGATACTCAATATAAATAAACTTAAGAAAATTCGTACTGGAGAAAAACATTACAAATGTAAAGAATGTGGTAAAACATCTAATTTTCTTTCAAATATTCGTCAACATGAGAGAATTCATACTGGAGAGAAGCCTTATAAATGTAGAGAATGTGGCAAAGCCTTTATTGATTCCTCCTCCCTTAATAAACATCAGAGCGTTCATACTGGAGAGAAGCCTTATGAATGTGGGGAATGTGGCAAAGCCTTTACCAGATCCTCATACCTTACTTATCATCAGAGAGTTCATACTGGAGAGAAGCCTTATGAATGTGGGGAATGTGGCAAAGCCTTCAGTATCTCCTCAAATCTTAATCAACATCTGAAACTTCATACTGGAGAGAAGCCCTATCAATGTAGAGAATGTGGCAAAGCCTTTACCAGATCCTCACTCCTTACTTATCATCAGAGATTGCATACTGGAGAGTCGCCCTATAAATGTAGAGAATGTGGCAAAGCCTTCGGTGTGGCATCTACACTTACTTTTCATCAGAGAGTTCACACTGGAGAGAAGCCTTATAAATGTAGTGAATGTGGCAAAGCCTTCAGTTTCTCCTCAAACCTTAATCAACATCAGAAACGTCATACTGGAGAGAAGCCTTATAAATGTAGTGAATGTGACAAAGCCTTCAGTGCCTCCTCAAACCTTAATCGACATCAGAAACTTCATACTGGAGAGACACCTTATAAATGTGGAAAATTCAGTAGGTCCTCAAGGTGTAGTATGCATCAGAGTAGTCACACTGGAAAGAAGCCTTATAAATGTAGTGAATATGACAAAGCGTTCTGTGACTCTTCAGACCTTAAGCAATATCAGAAACTTCATTCTGGAGAGAAGCCTTTTACATGTAGAGAATGTGGCAAAGCCTTTGCCAGATCCTCAGGTCTTACTTACCATCAGAGACTTCATACTGGAGAGTAGCCTTATGAATGTAGAGAGTGTGGCAAAGCCTTTAGTCAGTTCTCAAACCTTAGTAAGCATCAGAGAGTTCATACTAGCTAGAAGCCTTATACATGTAGAGAATGTGGCAAAGCCTTTAACCAGTGCTCTTGCCCTATTGTACAATAAAGAGTACATACTTGAGACAAGCCTTACAGTTTCAAGCAGTGCCATTAGTTCTTTACCAGCAGTGAGAACTTACTCAGGGCCAAAGAATTCATACGGGTATGAGGCCTTATGAAAGGGAAAAATGTGGAAAAGCCTTTAAAGATATTCGTGATTTACTGTACATGAGAGACTTCATAGTGGAGAGAAACCTTAACAGATGTAAGGAGTGTGGCAAATCCTTTCCTCGACAGTGTGATCTTATTAAACATCAGGTAATTCATTATGAAGAGAAGCCTTACAAATGTGAAGAATTAGGCACATTTTTTAATGCCCATTGCTGTCTTTCACAACACAATACAATTCGTACTGAAGAGAAGAACTATAAATATATTGAGTTAGTCAAAGCTTTTTTTTTTTTTTTTTTTTAATATATTTTATTGATTTTTTACAGAGAGGAAGGGAGAGAGATAGAGAGTTAGAAACATCGATGAGAGAGAAACATCGATCAGCTGCCTCCTGCACATCTCCCACTGGGGATGTGCCCGCAACCCAGGTACATGCCCTTGACCGGAATCGAACCTGGGACCCTTCAGTCCACAGACCGACGCTCTATCCACTGAGCCAAACCGGCTTCGGCTAGTCAAAGCTTTTAATCAGGAGTGTTGTCTCACTCAACAAAAAAATATAATGGAGTGAAACATTACCAAAGGAGAATGTGGCAAAGCTTTTAACCTGTACTCAAACATACTCAATTGGAGGGAATCATTCTAAATAGAAACAGTAAAAATATAAAGAATTTTCCCAAAGATTTAACCATTGTACTAATTTCATTGAGAATGATCAAATTAAGCTTTATAAATTGTAACACATGTGCCAAAGTGTATATTCTCATTTATATGTTATTCAACATCTGATAATTATTGCTGGAGTGAAGCCCAGCAAATATAAAGAATGTGGCAAAGTTTCACTCGGTACATGAACCGTATTTGACATCAGAATTCATACTCAGGAGAAACAATGAAAATGTAAATAGTGTCCAAAAACCTTTATTCCACATTCATAATTTATTCCTCACATTGAAATTCCTAGCAGAGGGAAACCCTAAAACCAAAGAATGTGGGAAATCCTGTAGCTGGACCTGCAGTCTCCGTCAATATGAAGGATTGCAATTTGGACTTAATTCTATGTTCATGATATAGGAGGAAAGGCTTTTGTTAAAAAAAAATATGCTTCTCAAAATCCTAAAAATTTTTCAAAGTATGTACTTGAAATTAAGTTTTAAAGTATCAGAATTCACACTAAATGAAGAGTCAATACTTCTCAGGTATTACTCTAAATCAGAATACTTATAGAGAATAATCCAATGTTTTAATGGACATAGTGACTTTTAGTATGCTTGAATATATTAAAAACAATGTATTCTTAAGTATAATTGCTTATAGTGTTGTCTATTTTTTATTGACATTATTTGAGACATACTGAAAAGGCAATATTAATGTGATTCTGCTCCCATATCACTGATGCTACCATGTTTTATTCCTGGTGTATGTGTGAAATCATGGGGTTGGTACTTCCTTAAAGACCTGTCAGCACTTGTATGTTACAGAGGTTTCACTGACATATACTTTTCCATGGAATAGTGCATATATTGTAAGGCACACTGGTTTAAGACCATCTCACTGGAGATTGTGGTTGACTTAGAATTTTGTTTTATGTCATCACGAAGGGCATTATAAATTTCAACTAAATTTGCCAATTACTCTTTCTGGAAAATATGGTGGCAGTTCATAAAAATCCTGATGTATCTTCATAGTAGCCATAGGTAGAAGTGATGCACATTGGTTGATGTGGTGAAATAAAGAAGATATGAGGCATATCTGAGAAGGTATATAGACCACTCATCCCTAAGTGCATAAAGTTATTGTATGTCCATGTTTTCTAAATGATTAGCCTCCATTCAAAAGAGCAAATGAAGCACAGTTATTACATTATTATATTCCCGGCGAGTTCAGGATGACTTGTAGGAGGGCCGACAACACAATAAATACACTATACAAAAAATATGAATTTATCCACAACCATCAGCCGGTGGGAATGTGCTTCAACAGGGCAACACCCATTTTTTTCATAGGCCTGACCCAGAAGAGGCACATAACATTTTCACTGACATCCCATTTGCCAGAACTTTGTCATTCCTGGCTGTAATGGAAGCTGGGAAATGCAGTCTTTGGCCAGGAGGTAATGCGTCCAGCCAAAAATCAGGTGTTCCATTATTAAAGGAAGGAGGGGGAAATGAAAATCTGTCTCTGAATCAGAGTCCTTCATAAAAACACTGATTTCTTGTTTTATTGGAAAAAATTAGTACTTGCTCCTTGTCTTAAGACAGTTATTGGCCTTCAATATAAAGAAGGAAATTAGGATACTTGCTGCCCATGTAATTATAAACACCTCTGTAAAGTCTGTAATTTAAAGTCTGCTCTGTAATAAAATTGACAGTTTGTATGGCATTATTTAACTCTAAAAAAATAATATATGGCCCTAACCGGTTTGGCTCAGTGGATAGAGCATTGGCCTGCAGATTGAGGGGTCCCAGGTTCGATTCCGGTCAAGGGCATGTACCTTGGTTGCGGGCACATCCCCAGTAGGGGGGTGTGCAGCAGGCAGCTGATTGATGTTTCTCTCTCATCAATGTTTCTAATTCTCTATCCCTCCCCCTTCCTCTCTGTAAAAAATCAATAAAATATATTTTAAAAAAATAATATATGAATTCAGAAGGCATTTAGAGGGCCATGTGGAACCTCTTTCTTGAAGAAGAACACTGAGATCAGGCCCTGCCCGCTTTTAATTCACTCTGAATACACATTTGCCCTTTAGCAATGCATACGGGCAGATCAAAGGTAAAATTTGGTCTACAGTGTAAAGATTACCAGGTTAGGAAATTGCCTGGAGCCATTGCAATCACAGCAGGGCAAACTTGTGCTGGTATTCAGCCCTGCTGAATATCAAAGTCCATTGGCCTTCCAATGTCTCTTTTGCACTTTTATGCTAAGTGCTGTTTGCTTTAGCCTCCAGCTTCAGATTAGTAATACATCGTATATGTTTATAATGTGCATTTTGACAAATAGTTGCACTTACAGTATTGGTTTTAATACTTTATTCGGATATGGGTGAACTTACTATTTTCTTTTTTAAAAATATATTTTTATTTCATAGAGAAAGGGAGAGGGACCAAGACATCAAAACATCAATAAGGAGAGAGATTTATTGTTTGACTGCCTCCTGCATGCCCCACACTTGAGATTGAGCCCGAAACCCAAGCATGTGCCCTGTTGGGGAATGAAACCTTGATGTCAATGCTTAACCACTGAGCCATGCTGGCCGGGCTATTTTAATTAATACAGCTGAGTGAGTGTGGATGTGTTCATGTGTTCAACCTTCAAAGTTGTAGGTATTATAGTCAGTGTCAGCAGTTTCTATATTTCCCTCTCTCTTTTTAAAAAAATATATTTTACTGATTTTTTTTACAGAGAGGAAGGGAGAGGGATAGAGCGTGAGAAACATCGATCAGCTGCCTCCTGCACACACACACCCCACTGGCGATGTGCCCGCAACCAAGGTACATGCCCTTGACCGGAATCAAACCTGGGACCCTTCAGTCTGCAGGCTGATGCTCTACTATCCACTGAGCCAAACCAGTTAGGGCTCCCTCTCTCTTTTTAAATATATGTTTTACTGATTTCAGAATGGAAAGGACAGGGGGAGAGAGGTAGGAACATCAATGAGCAGAGAGAATCATTGATCAGCTGCCTCCTCCACACCCCTCACTGTGGATGGATTCTGAAACCTGGAGTGTGCCCTGACCAGGAATGGAACCCTGCCATCCTGGTTCAGATGTCAACCCTCTACCTCTGAGCCACTCTGGCTGGGCTATATGTTTATCTCATTTGTCCCAGAGCCTTCTCTGCCTTCATTTTATGCAGCCTCCACAAGGTCAGGAATTATTCCCACCTTTAATTAATGACTTTCAACTACTCAGAACATCTCTCTTGTGACAGATCCACCTGGGAAGGCAGCCATGTCTAACATCCCTATTGGGATGGGGCTCTTTTGTCTGGAAGAAGGGAAATAGAATTTTTAGGTTCAAGTGGCTGCAGCATCAGCTCTTGATCAGGGGTAAGAAAAATGCACATTATACTGCTCAGAGTAACTCAGAAAGTTTTGAATGATGAGTAAATAGTAAATAGGACAGACTTGCTCACTAGATTAGGATGAAAGACTTGGTAGTTAAATGTACTAGTAGCTTACAGAACACGAGAGGTACCCGTGGATTGAAACTTGCAATAATTAAAGTTTATTTGTGATCATTTCCACATAATGATTTCTTTATTGATGTATTTTTGGCAGTAATGTCACAGCAGGGGGGAACTGACCATCGGTGTGCCTCAGTCACCTGATGCCCATTGTTCAGTCCACATGACGTTCACATGGCAGAGGTGCTCCTTTCGCTGTAGAGTTAATAGTCTCCCTTTCTCAGGAAGAAGGGTGTAGTAGCGATTTAATAAAGGTTGTGCAAAGACCATCGCTTCACATCTGAAAATATCCCTCTTCTTAGTTTGCATTTGCTTCAGAAAACGAAGGACTTTTATTTCTTACAGATCATTGGCTTTTTCACGGGACCTATAAACAATCAGGCCTTGATTATTTAAATTTTCATTATATTCTACTAGAGGCCTGGTGCATGAAATTCTTGCACTGTGGGGGGGTGTCCCTCAGCCCAGCCTGCATCCCCTGCAGGCCTGGTCGCCCCTAACTGCCTTCCCCTGAACACCTGGTCGCCCCCAACTGCCCTCCTCTACGGGTCTGGTCACCCCTAACTGCCCTCCCCTGTACACCTGGTTGCCCCCAACTGCCCTTCCCTGCTGGCCTGGTTGCCCCTAACTGCTCTCCCTTGGCAGCCATCCTGTGGTGGCCATCTTGTGAACACATGGGGGCAGCCTTGTGTGAGGGCATGATGGTCAATTTGCATATTATCACTTTCTTACATAGGATACTCCCATCGTGGACATACCCTAATCAGATTTTGTATTTTCTAGATGGATTCCAAGAGTGATATTTTTAATGTATGTTCAGTTTCATTAAATTTCTACAACATAGCTTTCCACTAATGATACATAAAAACTTACAAAGAGATATAATAGTAAGAAAAAGTAGTTCCCATCCTGTGCTGTGGATCAGTGGTGGAGGGTTTGATTCCTGGTCCAGGGCAAGTAGCTCCTGGGTACCTGCGGTAGGCAGCCATCCATGTGTTTCTGTCTCTCTTTTACATTGATGTCTCTCTCTTTTCTATTTCTCTCCCTTTCTCTCTCTCTCGCTCCCTCTTCTCACTTCGTGCCTGTTCTTTCCTGCCAAAAGTTAATGGAAAAAA